CCCGCTATGTAGTTCAGGCTGGCCTCGAACTCACAGTGATCCTCCTGCCTCAGCCTCTCAAGTGCTGGGATTACAAGCATGTGGCACACACCTGGTGTTTTCACCCATTCTTACCTAGCTGGAGCAGCAGCTGATACACCTTCTCTGTTTCTGAACTCTCCTGGTTTTCCTTCTACCTTCTGGGCTTCTCCATGTATGTCCTGGCTCCTCTTTCTGTGACCATCCTTACATTCAGCTTTCACATAGATTCCAATTTTTTTTTGAGACAGAGTCTTGCTATGTAGTTCAGACTGGCCTTGAACTCACTATGTAGCTCAGGCTGGCCTTAAATTTACAGCAATCCTCCTGCCTCAGCCTCCAGAGTGCTGGGATTACAGGTGTGGGTCCCGCCCCTCGAGTGGATTCAATTTTTGGGGACTCTTTTCATTCTGGGTGCTCTTATCCATCCTCTTATTCATGTGAGTTGCATTTACCCATTAACTGACTACCAGTATCTCCACAAGGATGTCCTGCAAGCACCTCAAACTTAGTACCTATGGGACATAAACTGGGTTTAAAAAACCCATCCCATACTTTTCCACTGTAAATTTATACTTTAGTATAATAGTAGCCAGCTGTGTGTCTCAGTAGATGCACCTGGGAGGATACAGGAAGCAATCTTTCTGTTTATCCTGCACATGTGCAAAAGCGTCAAACTGGGATTTTTACCCACATTTGTGTTTCATCTAACAATCCGTGTGTCTGTTTACCTGAGCATCATGGGGTGTAAAATACACCTGAAACATTCTGCTATGTAAACATGTACTCTACCATAATGGAATATGGGTTTATCCTTATTTTTCTGGTGGAAGTAATCCAATTCAATACAATGGCACATGGAAAACCAGATTTCCAAGTTTTAGAGGAGTCAGAAGTGAATCATGAGATCACTCATGCATGGATGATGAAGATAATGTCTTTGATGTTGGCTCTGTGAGCCAAACTTCCTGTGACTGAAATAGAGCAAGAAATAACCACTACAGACACAGGGAATGCAGAGCTCCTTGACTCAAATGACAAAGAAAACAGCAATATGAGTAGATATTTGACCAGCAGAAATGATAAAAAATGGTCACACAACCAAATGGAATGATCCAATATTAGGACTAGGTCCAGAAATATAGCAAGGTACTTGGTGGGGTGAAACCTATTGAATGGAATGCCAGTGCTGCCATTCAATGTTGGAAAAATTGTAACAAATGAAATGCTACAAGATGTTGTGAAATACACAAATGCTGAAATATAAGTAAAATAGTCTGTATGCACTGACAGCCATACTCTAAAATGTATTTATTATGATACCTCACTACTTGAACTGAAAGGACTCATAGGTCTGCTGTACTTAGCAGGGCTTTCTCATGGTCATTACAGGAATGTAAAAGGCTTATGGAAAAGCGACAAGTGTAGGCTTGAGGTTTACAGAATAACAATGACACTAAGGACATTTGGTTTCTTTCAAAATTGCCTGAGGTTTGATGACAAAACCACCCATCAAGAAAGAAAAAGAACTGATAATCTGGCTGGTATTGTTGGAGAGGTTTGTGGATAATTATCAAGCAATTTACACACCATCTGAATATATGACTATTGATGAACATATTGCAGCATCTCATGGTCACTGTAACTTCAGGCAGTATATTCCCAAAAAATCTTCAAAATATGGCAGAAAATTTATGCCCTTAAAAAAGTAAAGTGCATTACAAATTAAAAAAAAAATTATGCCCTTGCAGATGCAAAGACTTATTATGCTTTTAGCTTAGAAATTTATCCTGGAACTCAGCCACCAGGTCCTAACAACCAAATGATGTTGCAATAGACTTGTTGCTTCCATCTCCCAAACTAATCAAAATGTAATATTCAGCAATTGGTTTACCAGTTTCCAACTGAGTTCCATTTGCTAACAGAGCACAAGTTGGCCAGCATAAGAACTGTATAGAGGAACAAAGCAGAAATTCCAAATGAAATGTTGCAATTTCAAAACAGAGTATTGTATAATACAATCTTTGGATTTTGGAAAGATATAACATTGGCCTCATATATGGCAAAGAAAAACAAACTGGTACTGCTGATGTGAACAGTGCACCATGATGGAAATATTGATAGGGAAACCTCGACAAAACTGAAGCCTGGAGCTAGGGAGATAGCTCATCGGCACAGCACCTGCCTGGCAAATGCAAGGTCCTGAGTTCAATTCCTGGTACCCAAAACAAAACAACAAAAAAACCCTTGAAGCCTGAGATGGAAACTTTCTACAACAAAACCAGCGGCAGAGTAGGTGTTGTCGATGAGTTATCCAGCAACCACAGTGTCACTTGAAATATAAAGAGTTGGCCAATGGTTGTGTTTTAGTTGATCCTAAACATATGTTGGCACAGTTTGATAGTTTACAAAGAAAATAACAAGTATAAGATATCACAGAGAAATTTTCTTAGAAGACTGGGAGTGGAACTCATAAGAGATCATTTATGACAAGGGAAAAATCAAAATGTTTCTGCCCAGGGAACTATGCAAAAAAATTGTGGAGCACACTGGTGAGCTGACAGGTGAACAGGCAGGTGCAGCATCACAAAGACCTACTATGAGAACAGGAAAACCAGAAAGATGTCAACTGTGCCCTACAGGAAAGGACAGGAAAACAAAACATATGTTCTAGCAGTGTAAACCATACTTGTGTGTGGAACATGCAGTTTTCATGTGTGAAGACTGCCGTGGGTGTGACAATTGAAGCAAAAATTATTTCTGTGGTAGACTTTTGTTTGTATTTACATTGTAGTTCACATAAGTTTTTATTTCTGATGTTATCTTTTAGGCTTTGTAAGCAAGTAAACAGCTGATGTGAAAAATGTTGATGCTGGGGCTTGGAGTATAGTTCAGTGGCATGGCGCCTGCCTGGCAAGTGCAAGACCCTGAGTTTGATTTCTGGCACAAAAAAAAAAAAAAAGAAAGAGAAAGAAAGAAAGGGAGAGAAAGAAAGAAAGAAAGAAAGAAAGAAAGAAAGAAAGAAAGAAGAAAATGTTGATGTCTATTCTGACACACATTATGTATTTGATATTTTATTGATATCTTTTTTAAAAATTTAAAAAGTTTTTATTGATCTTATTTTCTTGCTCAGCGCACATTTTACACTATAATAGAAAGCTCCTGACAAAACAGAAAGACAAGAGAGGAGACCAGAATGGCCTGCCACACAGGAGGGGAAAGCTAAGCACACGTGCTGTTAGTGTAAGTGAGATGTGTACATGGAACATGCAGTGTCATATGTGAAGACTGCCTTGAGTGTGACGATGGAAGCAAAGATTATTTTTGTTGTAGCATTTTTTTGGTATTTTCATTATATTCATATAGGAATTTATCTCTGATGTTAACTTTTAGGTTTTATAGCAAGTACATAGCTGATGTGAAAAGGATGTTTATTCTAAATGCACAATACATATTAGGAATTTAATATTTTATTTTATTGATATTTTATGTTCCTGTTAACTACACATTGTATAATATAAATAAGAATCTTGTTACAAAACAGCAAGACCAGTGAGATGTCAAGTATGTCCTACAAAAAGGCCAGGAAAAAATGTATGCATGGAACATGCTATTGTCATGTGTGAAGATTGCCTCAGGTGTGATAATTGAAGTAAAGATTATTTTCTTTGTAGAGTTCTATTGGTATTTTTATTGTAGTTTATATAGGAATTTATTTCTGATGCTATTTTTTAGACCTTATATACCAAAAAAAATTGATGCTGAGAATTTTGATGCTTTTTTATAAAGATTCAATAAATATTAAAAAGTCAATACTTTCTTTGGATTTTTTTCCTGTTAAGTACTCATTGTTTAACATAATAAACTCGGGAGGCTGAGGCAGGAAGATCGCCATGAGTTCGAGGCCAGCCTGGGCCCTGTCTCAAAAAAAAAAAAAAAAAAACCAAGAAAAAAAATTGATGAATAGAAATTTTGTAAAGAATAATCGTGGGTATTATACACCCACAATAATGTGCCTTTATGACAAAATTGGCATTATGCCCTGCGTAACCGTGATCAGTTGGTTAAGGTTGTGTCCGATAGGTTTCTCTGTTATACAGTACTTAGTGACTCAGAAGTCACTACCTCCATTCCACACTCAAAAAGATTTTTAAGAAAGAGAGAAGTCACAGCACGGATTTAGGCAGGGAAAGACTGCTTTCCAAACGTGTTTCGGAAGGAATACTTTGGCTGCAATGTATTTGGCTGCAGTGTTTCGGAAGGAATACTTTGGCTGCAATGGAGATGAACACTGTACAGGTTGCCGTGGAACTGGACATGAACCGACGGCTTCCAGAGAGTTTTAGAAGACCAGCTCAGCAGCTGTTTGGAGAGCAGAATGGGAGAAGGTGAAGCTGGGTGGCTGGGGCCTTTCACTGGATCCGAAACAAAGGATCCATCTGCTGCAAGGAGGTCGTCTGCTTTCCTGCCCCTCTAGTGAGAAGCCACTTTCTGCTTCTTGGTCTTTCCTTGCTTTGGGGCGGTCACACGTGGATTACTTGGTTGGGAAACGATTTACCGACATGTAAATTAATACAGTTCGGGCATTACCAAGGAGGAGCACAATCTCCATTGCTGAGTTATGAGAGCAGAGGCCGTCGGAGGGATTGAAAGGAGCTGAGAAAAAGTCATCCCTAAATCCTTCTCTCCCCAAGATACTGTAGCGTACCCCTTGGGAGCGTGTAATCAGAAGCTCAGTGACTCAAGTGATTTCAAACAAGTAATTTTATTTACCTTTTTGGGTTCCGCCAACCAGTCCTCCCCTCTGCCTTGGGTGTTTTCCTTTTCCTGGCAGGGAGTGCTGGGGAGGGGGCGGACTGCTGCGATCTCTGCCCTCATCTCCGCCGGCGGGCCCCGCGCCCAGCTTTCTTTTCTCCTCGGCGCCTTCGGGCGGGGGCCGGAGGAGCGGCGGGGGTTGGGGTTGGGGCTGGGGGCGCCGGGCAGGGCGCCGGGCGGGCCCCGTTGCCTTGCGGAGGTTTGTAGACCAGGTGGAAGATAAACGCGTTACAGTACCTGCCGCAGGTGCGTGGGCGCGGTTAGGGGCGGGGCCGAGCGCCAAGGGGCGGGGCTTCTGGCCCGAGTTCCAGTGGGTGGGGTTAGACTTAGGGCATGGTGGGCGGGAGGGCTGCAGGGCCTTTTGGGGTAGGGCAAGGAGTTGGGGAGATTTCGGAATTGGATCTACAGAGGGGTGTCTTGGGGTTGCGAAACCAGCCCGGCTGGTGAATAGTGGGAACAGATCAGGAGGGCTGTAGGACAGCAAAGACCTTTTAGGACACGGGGAATCAGATGGAAACAGGGAAGGTCGGGCCCTTACCAGGGCATGCAGTTGTCAGCCGCTCTGAGGCGAAAGGGGGAGCGGAAGGGATTGGGCTGTGGAGGGCTGGTGCCCCCTCCCGTGGCCACCGCCATGGTCTGGTTGTCCATCACACAGCTGTACTCGCTGCTCTCCGTGAAGAAGGCGGGCACACGGAGGGACTAGGGTGGGAGCGCGACCTCAGACACTCCCTGAGGGGCTCCTGCCCCCAGATATGTCCCTAGTCCCCCAGGAGGGCAGGCAGGTTTGAAAACTGAGGCCCCAGGATGGGCTGGGATGTGGGAGAGGGTGAGGCTTAGGGCAAGAGGACGCGTGGGCGCTCCCCAGCTCTATGAGGCAGCTGATGGGGAGGGAGAGCCCGGTCTTTGAGGTGAAGGTGCTAGAAGAGGCAGGAGCTGAGATTCCCCACCTGTAAACGAGGCAGAGAGCTCAGCCACGTGTCCTTGAGGCCAAAGCCGGAGTTAAATCCTGTTTAGGAAGAACAGGGAGATGCTGGCTCCCAGAGTCTCTTTCTCTCCTACCTTTCCCACACCCCTACCCTTGAGCCCCAAACCCTTACCAATAACTAGGTCGGGCTTGGGTCCCTGGAGCAGGTGGTAGGGCCTAGCTGACACCTTGATCTGAAGGTCCCTGTGGCCTCCCTTCTCCTTAGTCCCAGAGCTGAGCCGTGCTGATACCCCAGAACTAGGACGGACTGATACCTCAGGGCCATCCTGTAGGGACAGGAATGCGGGGTGAAAGCCACCCGAAGTCAGGGTACTAGAGGAGGCAGCAGGCAAGACAAAGGAGTGGGGACAGGAAGGGCAGGATCCCATCGCAAGGCCAGCGGAGGAGTGGGCTGAAGAGCAGGGCCTCCCTCCACTCTCACCCTCTGCAGGGTAAAATGCTGCTGGTCATTCTCAAGGGGCAGGTCATCACCCACGAACTGCAGCTCTAGGGCCACATGGGGGAGCAGGACCAAGAGCTCCTAAAGGACAGGGAGAAGAGCAGGTCTGGGTCCCACCCTTTGTCCACCCTCACCCAGTGCCCAGTCTCCAGCCTGGAGACTTACCCAAAATACCATGACAAGGTCAAACTCCTTCCCTGCCTCTACCACGTGGATCTTCAGTGACTGCTTGTTCTGGATGTTGAGCTCAGGGACTGGCAAGAAGTCAGGTCTTTCAGATTATGGTGTCCTTTGCTCCCCTTCCCTGCATCCCCCCATTATGCCCTATGTTCCTTACAGGACTGGGGCACCAGATGCGTGATGACGTAATACACAGTCAGTGGGTAGGTGAGAAGCACAGCCATGGGGGAGTCGAGACCAAGGCCTCGCCATGTGTAGTAATCCTGCCACGAGCCTGGTGAGAGTGGGTTACTGGGGAACACCGGCCTCAGGCCTGGACCCCATTCTATCTGGTCTAATGGCCTCCCTTTTTCTCAGCCACTGAGGCTTCTAGCCCTCTAGGCCCTGTCCTGACTCGTAGCTCCCTCAGAGTCCCTCCAGCTCACCAAAGGGGCCCCTGGGTGGATCCAAGGGCACCGGAGGCATCAGGGCAGGCCCATCCCCTTGGAGAAGTTGGTAGGGATCTCCTGAGCGATGGAAAGGGAGAAGAGAGACTTGGGGTTAGGAAACCCCCACCCTACCCACTTCTCTTTTTCTCATAGAGGAGCTGTGTTTCCTGAGAAGGCTGGGAGCTGCAGGAAGAGGCTCGGGGGCTTGCTTATGACTAGGACTCCTGGATGGGAAGGTAGAAGTGAATTGTTTGGGGGCTGAGGAAAGGTTTGAAATGGGCTTGATGGTGTTGGTAGGGATTTGGCTTGTATATGGAGGGGTTATCTGGGACACGGACAGCTTTCCCCCGCATTCCTTCCCTCCAGGCCAAAGAGGCCATGTTTAAAAAGAGGCTTATGTACCACTGTGAAGGCTGAGGGGCGGCATGCTGCTGCGGGGGCTCCTGCGGGTGCCCGGCCCTGGAATCAGCATGCTGAGCTGGGTCCAGTAGCCACGAGTGAGGCTTCGAGAAGTCAGGAAGGCTTCCTTGTTAAAGGTTTCACTGGTCACTTCTGGAGGAGGAGCAGGGGCATTGAGGGCTGGGTGGCCAGACACGAAGATTTACTTCCCCTTAGCACCCACCCCCAAGGCCCTGTGATTGAGTCTGGGGCTTGTCAGAGGGAACTACCATTTTTGAGTGTCTGCAGGCCCATGTGACCACTGTAACAATTTTACATTTGCTAGTGTCCCTTTTTTTTTTTTTCACACCTGAGGATCCAAGCAGTAAAATGATTGATGTGTTTAAGGCACACAGCCAGTTAGCTGGACAGCCAGGAAGCAAGCATCTGAATCCCCAGCTCACGTGCCCTAAGTGCTCTTAGAAACCCAGGCACCCAGTGTTCCACTTGAGACCTTGTCTGCAGCCTCAGGGGCCTAGTCCCCAGTTCCAAACACCCAGGACCAAATCCTAATTCTGGGTATCTAGACTCCAACCAAAGACATTTAGTCTTCAGTCCCAGGACACTGCTCCCAGAAACCCAGGCTCCTGTCTTTAAGACCTGGTCCTAGTGTCCCCTCACCCCAACCTGCATCCTTACAGTACCTGTGGTATAGGTAAAAGGCAGAGTGGCCAGTTCCCCTGCCCGCTCCATGAAAGCTGCAAGCTTTGGGCACCAAAATCTGTGGCTCACATCATCTGGGCACCGCCGCCAGTCCGTCCGGAGACAAGCCTCTCCACAGTACAGGACAGCACCGCACTGGGGGCTGCGGGGCACACAGTGTTAATCTCTGTAGGTACTGCTGGCTGTCCATCTGCCTTGCAGCTACCATTTCTCACTTGGCCTGTTTGTTTTACACCCTGTAACCGCCTGTAATAGCTTGTGTGTTGTTTCTTCCATCTTCATCTTATCTCCCTCGCCCTCCTTCCTCTGTCTGTCGGCTGGGTCTCCCACTGGCCTGGCTTGCGTTTGCTCTGCTTGCCTGACTGTTGGGATCTTCCTTTGATTCTGTCTTTGTGGACTGCTTACCAGGGTGTCAGCTTCACTTCGAAGCTGTGCTTGTGACACACATGACAGGTTCGAGCTCGAAGAGAGGCAAAGGTGAAGCCCGGCCGAGGACCCCATGTGCGCATTGGGGTTTTTGTTAGCTTCACTCTGAGTCTTGAAACCAGGCTCTCCAGCTCTCTGAATGGGGGTGGAGATAGCATCACTCTGAGGTGCTTGGGAGTCCAGGCCCCTGGCTTCCCCACCCTCTCATACCAGGATATTTATACCGATGCAGCTGGGCGTCTCCCACAGTAAGCTGTCGGGGCTTTCGGGGGTCCCCGGAGCCCATGGGGCAGGTCATGCTGTGGCAGAGGAGAGTATAGGCCCGAGGAGCCAGGTTCTCTGTTCCTGAGCCCAGGTCTGTGCTTCCCTGGGCTCTGTCCGTTAGCAGATCAATGCCCAAGATGGTACCATACTCATCTGTCACCAGTAAGAGGCAGGAAAGGTGCAGGAGGCCGGCCTCTGGGTTAGGGGGAGAGAGCAGGGGATAAAGATGGTTGGAGCACCAAGCTCAAATCCCTATAGGAGATAGGCAAGAAACCTCAGTGAGTAAAGAGACTAGGAGGAGGGGGCAACCCTGGTGCTGCTATACAGTACCAGAATTTGCTGAATGCAGAAATGCAGATGAGATTTTAGAATTTTAGATTTTTCTTGAGAAGATGTAAAACCCCAGACTTCTGGATTTTGCTTCCTTCTCCAACCTACCTTTTTCCCTGCCATGATACTGGAGATTGAACACAAGGCCTTCACACTGAGCTACATTCTCAGGCTTCATTTATGTACTTTATTTTATTCATTTATTTTTTTTGCTTTGGTTTTTTGAGACAGGGTCTTGCTTTGTAGTGTAGGCTGGCCTTAAATTTACTGTGTAGCCCAGGCTGGCCTTGAATGCTTGGTGATCCTCCTGCCTCAGCCTCCTGAGTCATGTACCACCACACCTGGCTATTTATTCCCTGAGAGACAGAGTCTTAGTAAGTTAATAAATTGTCCAGGCTGGGCTCAAAAATGTGATTCGCTTGCCTTAGATTCCCAGAATGTTGCTAGTATGGGCATGTGCCACCATGCTTAGTTTTCTTTCAGTGTTTAAACATCAACTCAGCCAGGCGTGGTGATGCATACCTGTAATCCCAGCACCCAGGAGGCTGAGGCAGTAGGATCACCATGAATTTGAGGCCAGCCTGGGCCACATAGTGAGACCCTGTCTCAGAAAACAAACAACTCCCCAGAATACCCCTCAACCCCAAAATAGTCAATGAAAACACCTTTTTGGGCCAGGCTGGACTGCAAGCTACCAATCTGTGACTCCTAGCTGAGTTCTGAGCGGCATGGGAAGGCTTCAGGAGCAGGGAATTGCTGGGCAGAGTGCAGGGCAGGGCCCACCTGGGTTCTCACCTCTCCTCCGTCCGTTCCTCTTCTCATGTGCCATGTGGTTCTCCACTTTGTCCTCTGGGCCGCCATCCTCACCACCTGCGTCCTGCTCAGTCTCCCCTGCCTCCAGTGGAGGCTTTGCTTCCTGGGGGGATTCTCTGCTGGTAGAGGCTGGCTCCCCATCCTCCTGTGGTTCAACCTTTTCTGTCCTCCTCTCCTTTGCGTTCTCTTCTTCATCCTCCTCTTCCTGCTCCCCTTCCTCCCCATCCTCTAGGCTGACAAAGCTGACATAGGGGCTCAGGTCTCGAAGGTGGAGAGGAGGCTCATCTCCCAGAAGCCTGGCAGCCCCCAGGCCCGATCCAGGCCCTGGCTCTGCCCCTTGCCCCAGGCTGATGCCCACACTATGGTTGGGCAGGACATGGAGCACCCAAAGGGCAGGGTCCTGGGGCAGCCTTTTGATCTGAGCTTCCAGCTGTCGCCAGCGGCCCTCAAAACTGGCCCCTACCGGCCCTCGCTCTGCCACAAACTTGTGGAACCAGCCAAAGAGAAGAGCAGCAAAATCAAGGAATTCATCCCGGTATCCAGACACAAACTCCATGTCTTCAGAGGCACAGGGTCTGGGCCCGGACTGAGCAGAGGAAGGGATATGTGGTGAGGGACAGGGTAGTGGTGAGAAACTTTAGGGCTGGGTCACTATACAGGAGCGGGTCTGGGTGGAGAGGCACTTAGGGTGGGCTGCAGAAGAGTATTGGGAGCTGAGAAGAGGGTTTTCAGCCAGGAAGATGGGAGTTCAGGGGTAAGAATGGAGGGCTGGGGTGGACAGTGAGCAATTAGAGGTGAAGATAAGTATTCAGGGATGAAATGATATATTTGGGCTCAAAATTTGAGGACCCAAGCCCCTTAAAAGTAGGGTTTGACCTAAGGGTATTGATGAAGCAGGGTTACTCCTACGGAGAAGGGGTTGGTGGGAGGGTTGAATTTTGGAACCCTCAGTCGATGGGGTATGGGAAGAGGGAACAGGAGCTGGGGCATTCCTTGGGTTTGGGTCCGTTTGGGGTGAACTGCAGGAGACCTAACCCCTCCGGGACACCGCACTACCCCGGTACCTGCAGTGTCACCACTTTCGAAGGTAAATACCTCGGGGGCGGTCGTGACGTCAGGGCCCGAGCTCCGCTGCTCCCAGCGGCCACGCCCCGAGGCTGGCAGGTGGCTCCTCCACCCCGAGGCTGGCAGGTGGCTCGGCCCGCGTGCGCCGCCAGGCACCCGCTCCCGGCCGCTCCACCTTGGCCGTGAGACTGGGCCCCGCCGCCTCGGAGCCGCGAGGGGAAGCGAGAGGGTCTTGAAGCAGGAGGGGGTGTCCAGCCGACCCCCCATTTCACAGGTCCGCGGGCGGACGCGCGGCCGGAAGGACTGGCACCCCGGTCCCGGCCCGATCCTCCCGCGGGTCCGCTCCGACTCGCCTCCCTCGCAGCCAGAGTTTTCTTTCAGTTTTGCTGGACATTCTTTGCCGCCCCCTCGACGGAGTCGGGGCCAGCGCGGGGCGAAGGAGCTCCGCCCGCGGGGCTTCCCCTGCGGCGGGAGGCGGGCGGCGCGGGCTTGGGCAGTTCGGTTCGGTTCTGCATGGCGCGAGCGCGGGGCGGGAGGACGGCGCCTCCACGCGCCCCCTGCCCCGCCGAGTCTCCTCAAGAACTCGGGAGCGGCGACAGAAGCGGGAGCCGCTGAGAAATCAGCGGCGCGTCTCACTGCCTGCGCCCCAGACTCCGCGGGCCGGAGATGAGGCGGGGATGGGGACTTTGGTCCGCACTCTGCTCCTTCTGCTGGCGCTGGTGATTCGGTCAGGTGAGCCGGGCGGCGCGCGAGGGGTGCGGCGCGCGGGGCCCAGGCGTCCCCTGAGCGGGCTGGGAGGGGACAGCCCGCTGCCTGGGTTGGAGACAGAGACTGAGATTCCTGGGTCCAGGTGGGGCTGTGGACTTGCGAGGCGATGCGTGGGCTGAGCCAGTGCGTCAGACCCCGGGGTGCTTGGAGACTAAGTGGGTTAAGTAACAGGAGGGGAAGATCCGCGGGCTGAACATCTGTGCTGACCACTTCTACCCCGTTCAGGTGATGGCAACGAGGGCAGCATCGCTGGAAGTTGTCACTGTGATAGGATAATCCCTTCTAACGTCCCTGCCCATGTTCAATTCATGGAACACTTCCGAAAATACGGGAAGAGCTACCATCGCTGTCCCTCGTACGTCAGGTAGTCTTCGCCTCCATCCCAGGAGCGCGAGCTCCTGGCCCGCTCTCTGGGCTCCTCACACTCCGCTTTCTGTTTCACTTACCTGGGAATTTCCAAGTTCCGCCACACATGACTTCCTTGAAGTCCTCATTCACCCCTTTGAATGAGGAAAGCTGGGGAAAGGAAGCTGGAGTTGTAGCTGAGAACTGGTTTTCCCTCTTGTAGGTTCGAGCTTCGTTCCCAGAGTGTGTGCGGGGGCAGCCGAGACCAGTGGGTTCTTGAGGTGATGAGCTGCTTTGATCGCAGAGGTGAGAGCTTTTCCTCTCCTCAGCCCTGGCTCCAAGACGCAGCAGCTTCCACCTTACAATTTCCTTTGCCTTTTCCCCTGACACCCCCATAGTCCTAGAACCTTCTGATGTTAGCCAAAGTACTTTTACTTAAGTCTCTGTCTACCACGTATCATTTACCATCCACTTTCATGATTTATGTTGATTTATTCTGCCACATGTGACACTATTTTAATATTTTTCAAGTCACTATATATTATATAAACATATATATCAGTATATTAGTAGTGGAGATAGTTTGCATTGAGCTACCACCCTTCACCATATCAATTTTATTAAGCATTACTACATGCCAGGTACTGTTCTATTCTAGCCTTTTTTCTTTTTTGAGACAGGGTCTCACTTTGTAGTGCAGGCTGGCCTTGAATTTACATCGATCCTAGTGCCTCAGCCTCCCAAATGCTGGGATTATAGGTATGTACCACTGTGCATATATTAATGGCAGAACTGGGGATTGAACCCAGTACCTTCACACTGAACTACACTATCAGCGCCATCCTTAAAAAAATTTTTCTTTAAACTTTGAGATAGGATCTCACTAAGTCACTGACCTGTCTAGGCTGGCCTAGAATTTATAATTCTCCTGCTTTAGCCTCCCAGAGGGCTGGATTACAGGCATGTGCCACCATCCTTGGATTAAAATACATATTATAAAGATATAATCTCTATTATTTTTCTTGAAATCAGCTGAAGGCACTATTTTCGTTTTCCAATATTTATGAAAATTTAGACATTGTAAGAAAAGTTGTACAATGAACAACTGTATTCTACCACCTAGATTCTGTAATATTTGATTATACATCTCTAGTCCACTGTAATTTTGATGTATTTTAATATCAGTTGCAGACATTCTTATATTTTATCTATCCCAAAGCTTTTCAGCATGTATGTTGAGTTCAGTATTTTTTTTCTTTTGAAGCAAAATCTACACGAGTGAATCTTAAGTGTACACAAGCCAGTTTTGCAAAATTATTTCCAACTTGTCTTAATAACATCTGTAAAGCTAAAAATTTGATGAACAAGTTATTTTTTTTTTGAACGAGTTAATGTTCTTCGATGTCACTGTGTAGTGTCAGTGGTGCCTGTACGGCCTTTCATGACCTGTGTTATTTCCTTTAATCCTCCAAGATATAGGACCTTGGCCCTTGGTACTATGACTGTCTTCACTGGACAGCTGAAAGAAAGAAGCCCTATGAAGGCCAAGGTCTCACAGTTATTTTGTAGCACAGCCAGGGGTTCAGCTCAAGCCTCCTGACTCCCCATTTCAGAACACTGGCTCTGCCCAGTGGCTGCATCCTGTGGTCTGCTCAATTCCTTGTCTCTTGGCTTCTCCTCTACTGCTACCTCCCTTTCCTGGCCTTCAGTTGTCCTCTTGATGTTCTACTTGACTTAGTACTCTTTTCTCTGCTGGGGTTCAGAACACAATACCTCCAAATATGGCACTGTAGCAATTAAGAAAACCCATGAAGCAAGGTCACTCTCACTTTTCTCCCCCTTTCTGTGTGACAGTAGCCATTAAGGACTTCTATGACTTACTTCATCTGAAAGTAAGTCATAATAACCCTATTCCATAGGGGTCCACCCCATACTTGGAGGTCAAGAAGAATCTGAATGGACAGGTCCCCCCATTTGGATTACATTTTTTTATTTTTATTTTTTGGTTTTTCTCCGGTACCGGGAACCGAACTCACGACATTGCGCTTGCCAGGCAGGCACTCTGCCGCTGAGCTAAATCCCCAGCCCCTACATTTTTTTTTCTGGAGACATTACGTCTTGCTATGTAGTCCAGGCTGACCTCAAATTCATAGCAATCCTCCTGCTTCAAACTCCTGAGTGCTGGGATTACAGGCTTGTACTGTCATGCCTGGCTTAGATTACATCCTTTTTTGTCTAATCATATTGCTATACAACTGTCCATTCTTTGTTTTTTTTTTTTTTTTTTTGACACAGGGTCTTGCTGTGTAGTGTAGGCTGACCTTGAATTCACTATGTAGCTCAGGCTGGCCTTGAACTCAGTGATCCTTCTTTCCTACCTCAGCCTCCTGAGTGCTGGAATCACAGGCATATGCCACCATGCCTGGTCTTTTTTCTTTTCTTTTTCTTTTTTCTTTTTTTTTGAGACAGCCTCATTATGTTTTACTGGTGGGGCTCTAACTCCCAGAGAACCTCCTGGCTCAGTCTCCCGAGTATTGGGATTACAGGCATGTGCCACAATGCTTGGTTCTACAGGTGTTTATTTTTCATCCATTCTGAGCACAAAAATAGTTTTGCCTGGATTTTCTTTCTGAAGCCTCTGATGTCCTGTGAAATTTTGATTAAATACATTTGTTATGCTTTTTTTGTTTTTTGTTATACGGGTGTCAGCCATGACCTTGTGATAAGTGAGGAAGATACTACTTTTTTTTAACTTAGATCTCTATGTGCTTCTTTACCTGTTCCCTGAGAGTCCTGATTCTTTACTCTTTTCTTCTCCAGAGTGTGGGCATGCTTATCGGGAGAATCAAGTCCATCAGAAGCATTCATCTTCCCATGGCACCCTGATTCCTAGACCCCCAGAGGGGACACCACCAGACAGAAGCACTCCTGCCCAGAAGTACCCACCATCTGCCTCGCAGCCTACCCCAAAGCCTACCCTTCTGCCAGGAACATTCTTCTTGGATAAACATCTCACCCACCTCAATGAAACCACCACTCCCATTGTGGGTTACAGTCAGGAAGCTGGGTGTAGGATTAAGGGGAACCAGAAAGAGCCCAAAGAAAAAGCAGGTGCTCCTGGTGGATCATCAGCTGTGGTGCCAGTACTGTCCCTCCTAGTCATTGTCTTCCTCTTCACTGGAATCTTCTTCTACATGAAGTGCAGAAGGAGGGAGGTGCAGTCACAGCAGTACTCTCCAGTTGGTATGGCCTCTGTTTAGATGTACCTCCAAAGCTTCATGCAGTCATAGGTGGGGCTTTCTGGAGGTGGTTGGATCTAGGGTGTATGATGCAGGGATCATGGATGTGATGCTGGGATTGATTCATGATGTGATGCTAGGATTAAGGGTGCCCCACCCTGGGTATGAGTGTTACCTGCCTGAAGAGGGGGTAGCCTGGATAAGATATAAGGGACAGAAGTAGGGTTGCTGTGGTCACTGCTTGTCACTTGCTGCTTACTATTTCTCTGATGGCTGCCTTCTGCCTGCCCAACTTTGCCATGGAGTTTCTCCTCTGTGATCCCTGTCTGCTGTGCCATCCTGCCTTGGGGCCAGCTATGGACTAAAAGCTCTACATAGTGTGAGATAAATAAACCTTTCCTCCTTTAACTTTGGGTGTTGTGTATTTTGTCCCAGCAATGAGAAAAGTAATGAAGACAGTAGGTAATCCCTCACCCAGGGACCCAGAGCCTTCCTTGAAGGGATACTGGTTCCTGTAGTTCTCAGGGAAACCTGACCCAACACACAAAATTTAAGGCTCCTGTACTGTGGACTACAGGCTGTGATGGAAGAGCCGGTAGAGACCAGTAAGTGGAGGGAGAGGAATGCTACTATGGGTCCAGGCCCAGTGCTTGGCTTTTAAAGCCTGGTGATGCTTGGAGCAAGGTGAGGCTAGACCAGGCTAGCAGGAGATAAAGCTGTGGAGGAGGGTAAGGGCCATTGTTTCAATTCATAAATCTTTATTGAGCACTTTGTGTGTACAGATTCTAGGGTTAATATCTGGGAGTCTGATTTCCCACTTAAGCTACTATTCCTCCCCAAACTCCCCTTGATCTCAGAACTCATCTCTCAATTTCTTTTTCCTTTCCAGACCTATAGCTTTATCAACACACACTTGCCACACCAGACTCCAGTGCCTGAGCCAAGGATAGAAGCTTGAGAGTATGGACTGATTTCTTTTGTAAATACTTTATGTAATTAATATAATTTTTGGTACATTTTAAGCAATTGCCAAGTTTAATATATTACTAACTGCCCTCTTAGTTTTCCCTTTTAAAAATATGCAATTCCACCAGGCATAGTGGTGCACACCTGTAATCCCAACACTTGGGTGGCTGAGGCAGGAGGATCACTGTGAGTCCAGCGCCGGCCTGAACTACACAGCGAGACCCTGTCTCAAAACAAAACAAAACAAAACAACAACAACAAAAAAACCTCAAACACGCAATACCATAAAATCTAGGGCCTGAGTTGTAGCTTTTTTTTTTTCCCCGGTACGGGGAATCAAACTCACGACCTTGTGCTTGCCAGGCAGGCACTGTGCCGCTAAGCTAAATTCCCAGCCCCTTTTTTTGTCTTCTTGAGACAGGGTCTCACTATGCAGTTCAGGCTAGTCTTGAACTCACTTTGTAGCCCAGGCTGGCCTCGAACTTGCAATGATCCCCCTGCCTCAGCCTCCTGAGTGCTGGGATTACAGGCATGTACCACCACGCCTGGCTCCTGAGTTGGAGCTTTTAGTGATACCATGCTTTCCTAGCATGAGTGAGGCCCTGAGTTCAATCCCTAGTCCTGCAAAAACTACATAAAAAACAAAATATGACTTTTATACTGCATAATGATGGTATGGGCAAGTTCTGTACGTTTTAACTAGTAAATATTACTTTTAGCTTTACTGACTCTTCTTCCTGCAGACATTGGCTCCAGGCCCTTGCTGCCTCATGATGACACCTGGCTTCAGCTTCTCTGCTGAGGGTTATCCAGAGACTAATAGTTCCCTTTGGTCACAAATCCCCCTTCACACTACGCCAGCTATTCTTCCCAGTCCCACACTCAAGGGCTAGGCTTTCCCATCCTCTCTCCTGAGTAGCTGCTGTGCTGATATACAGGCTGGGCTTATTTCCTCAATCCCTTGCATCACTCATAAATACAGAACCTGATTTTTAAAAATTGTTCATGCTTTTATTAAAAATCTTAGATTATGTTTTGGCTCTTTCAATAAGGAAGAATGTATCTTCACTGGGCCAAGTTTTTGGGAGGCAGGGTATGTGTGGAGGGTGATGACTGCATAAAGTGGGTTGGGTGGCTGAATCTCCAGCTCCTGTCTGAGCCTGTGAAGTATATGACAGGAGCGCCCTGCTGGAGGAGCCAAGGCACAGCTGTGGTCAGGCCTCAGTTTTAGTTTCTCCATTTCCACCTTCTGCCCCTTTGTTCAAGTTGACGCTGATCAGTAGGGCACGCATGTGTCAGTCCCCACACCCCAGCCCTCAGGTCTCTAGTGCAGGTCATGGTCTCCTACCATACTCTGGATCCCCTTCCGTGGCTTAGCTCTCCAGCATCTGCTCACAGGTTCGGGCAACATCACTGAGCTTGAGGCGGGCATAGTCGACTCGCTTCAGAGCCATTTGACAGTCCTTCCTTGAAGAGTAGCTGGAGCCCTCATGGGGCTGCCCTGTGGCCACCTATGGGACAGTGAGACTGATGAATGGAGCACTGTCTCCCCTACCCATGCCCCAATCAGTCATTTCTTCCCTCAGTTTGATGTGTTAAGCTGCCTGGTAGCTCAGTGACCTGCAGCAAATCACTTAACTTCTGTTAACCTCATGGGTGAAATGCGGGTGACCATAACTATTTCCTAGAGCTGTAGGATTAGATAAGGTAATACAGTGCTCCACTCACAGTCAACTTTAGTAAACAGCGGTAGCTGTTGTAAGGACGGACTTCGGAGCTTTCGGGAGGTAAGCATCTGAGGCCTCACGCCTGGAGGTCACTCCAAGCTTGTGGCTTCAGTATTGCTTACATGCCAACTCTCAGGCACTTCCCCATCCAGCGCCTCAGGTATAATCCCAAGGTAGACAAGGCCGCGTTGAATGTTTTCCCTTTTAGCGGAAGAAACCAGCCCTCGAAGGAAAGGGTCCGTGAGGTCCAGGTGGTGCCAAGTTGGAAGGCTTGATCTGATTTTGCTCAGTTAAGCTCCGCGGGGGCGGGGGGGGGCAGGTTACCCCTAAGGTTGGGGCGAAGCACGGAGGTGGGCCTGCAGCGTCTCCCAGATCCACTTACCTGAGTAAGGTAACGGATCTGGGCCGACAGCTCCGCCTCCACGTGCTGCACTGAAGCGGTGAAGGCCGCCGCCTGCCGGTCTAGCAGCCGCTCATTGGTTTTTTCCTTGGACAGTTCTAGGATCACGGTCCCTGCCGGGGCGGAGAGAGGGCGGGGTTATCCAGAGACTAGCAGCGTAGCCCCGCCCAAAGGCTCACCACTTCCCCGCCCACCTTTTGCTGCGCATGCGCTTAAGAGCCCACCCGCCCAAGCGTGGCTTGTAGTCGGCTCGCTTTCGCTCCAAATAGCTCGTCGCATCCCGAACCTGCATTCTGGAGGATGGCGCCGATTTCCCTCTCGATGTCTTCTAGGGCGCGTAGTCGCTCATTCGCCAGGCTGTAGGTGGCCATTGTCCCTCTGAGAAACTCCAAGAGATTTTCTCCTGAGGAGGGCGACTTGGGTGCCCGGAAGTGGCTGTCAGTTTGCGCCTGCGTAAAGGGTACACTACAATTCCCAGGACGCCCAGCGCGGCCTCGCCCTTCTTGGCCCTTCCCCCCACCCCCGGAGAACTACAACTCCCAAGGAGTCGTGCGCCTGGCCTCTGCGCCGCCACCACGCGACCACCTTGGGTAAGAAACAATATTGAGTTAGCTCCTGGCTTGAGGCTGTTCAGACCTCATCACCTTTAAGACACTATTTTATGGACTGTATTTCATTTATTCAACAAGAATTTATTAAGAGTCGGCTGGGTTCTAGGTAATGGTGGTAGTAGTCCTAGGGTATTCATCCAGGCTGGATAGCCATGGGCCCTTTGTCTGCCAACCTCACCTGGGGAAAGCTTGGCTTGGTGAGTGTTAACGTTATTCTTCCTAGGGTTCTCCCAGACCTTGAGCCTAACTGGAACACAGACTATCGACATATTCTCGGATGCTGGCTCCTTCTAGCCTTTCCCCTTTCCTTTTCTGCTTACCTATTCTGTGCAGGGTCTGGAGATATAAAGATGAATGAGATGGAGACTCACGTGACAGTGGCATAGATGTTTTGTTAGAGATTTGGCAAGGACCACTGAGAAAAGATTCTTGGAGGAAATGCTTCTTGAATAGACTCCTAGAGGGCTAAATAGATGGATGAGAGGTTGGGGTGGAAAAGCGAACCAGCACAGGCAACAGCATGGTGCTGTGAGGGGTGGTTGGGCCTGGCAGATTTGGAGTCCAGCGGGTTCAGTTAGAGTGGAGTGTGGTGGTTGTTAGGTGTGACAGTGCTGAAACTGGAGAGGGCGCTGGACCAGGAAAAAGCTAAGCTAGGTATTTTGGACTTTATACAGAAGCCCTCTTGCGGCCTTTGGAGGATTTTCAGCCAGTGTGTTACAGCTAGATTTACTTTTTTTCGAAAAACCGTTTTCTTTTTTCTCCCCTCGTACTGGAGATTGAGCCTAGGGCCTTTGCACTGAACTACACTCCCAGCCCTTTTAATTTTTTATTTTGAGAGCTGGGCATGATGATGCGCTCCTGTAATCCCAGCACTTGGGAGGCTGAGGCAGGAGGATGGTCACGAGTTCTAGGCCAGCTTGGACTACATACTGAGTTCAAGGCCAGCCTGAACTACATAGTGAGTGAGACCTTTTCTCAAAACAAAATGAAACAAAATGAAAAAATTTATTTTGAGGCAGGCTATCACTAAGTTGATAAATTGCCCAGGCTGGGCTCAAACTTTGGATCCTCTTGCCTTAGCTTCCCAAAGTGCTGGGCTTACAGGTGTGTGCCACCATGCCTAGCTGGAAAGATTACTCTTGACAGTTTATAAGAAAACATTGAGAGTGAAACCAGGGCCCAAGACTGTAATCCCAGCTGCTTGGGAGGCTGAGGCAGGAGGATCACAATTTAGAGGACAGTGTGGACAAAATAAAAAATAAAAAATGGGACATAGCTTAGTGATAAGAATGCTTACCTAGCATAGGTAAGGCTCTGGGTTCAATTCCTAGTACTGAAAAAACAAACAAAAAAAATACAAGTGGGGGGTTAATAGGAAGACTTTAGGTACACTCTTGAGACAAGAGGCTAAATAGTACCTGAAGAAAGCTTAGAAAACAACGGATTTACCCTACATTAGTAGTATCACATACAATGTGGGTCAAAGTGGTATTAAAATTATGAGGGTTATTTGAAGAAGTTAGATGGCCAAATCTCCTCATTGACTTCATATATCTTGGCAACTACCCTTTCCAAACTATTAGAATGCTGGAAATTTCTTTATTGGAGAGGGAAAATAGTTTTTAGCTTGTAGGACACCTGGGCATAGTTGAACAAAAGACTGCTATGTTAAGCTGAGTGTGGTGGTGCACGCCTGTAACCCCAGCACTCAGGAGGCTGAGGCAGGAGGATTGCCACAAGCTCAAGACCAGCCTGGGATACATAGTGAGACCATGTTTCAAAAAAACAGAAAACAAGGCCAGGCGTGTGGCACACATGTGTAATCCCAGCACTCAGGAGGCTGACGCAGGAGGATTGTTGCCAGTTTAAGACCAGCCTGGGCTACAAAGTGAGCTCAAGTCCAGCCTGAACCGCATAGCGAGACACTGTCTCAAAAAGACAAAACAAAACAAAAAACAACAACAAAAAATAGTACTGGATTGAAAACAGATTAAGTGAAAGTTTATAAACTGAATACTGGTTTCACAACCCTGACAAGCAGGCTAATACTTTCCAGGTTAGAGCCTGCAAGACACTCCTCTGGAAAGTTTGCTTAGAGAAAAGACCTAATTAACATCAGGTGCTCTTCACCAAAGCATGTAACCAGATCACACCATAGTGAAACTCCGTAGTGGGTAAGTCAAATTTGTGTTCATGGAACTTCTAGTCAACTTCTTAGCATCTCTGTTTTTCTGGTAGTGGTGCTGGGGATGGAACCCAGTGGTGCTGTACCACTGAACTACGTCACTTAAGTATAAGCAGACAACAAAGGATTTATAAATTTTTGAAGAAACTTTCTAACATGAAATTTAGAGACTATAATACATGGTGGGTGGGGAGAACAACTTTTGGAGTGCCTGGATAAAAGATACTGTAAAAAAGGATTAGCTGGAAGACAAAGGCACGTACCTATAATCCTCAGTACTCAGGAGGCTGAGGCAGGAGAATTGCTTGAGTTCAGGAGTTTGGGGCTATCCTGGGCAACATAGCAAGACCCTGCCGTTTATTTTAAAAAAAAAGAAATGTCTTCTTGAGTGTCAGCTAGGATTACGTATCTGTTCTTATCAGTTTAATATCTGATACGTTCTCTATTCAAGAACAATATATTAAATGGGTTTTTGGAAATAGGAGATGGAATAGGATCTTGTCTTGTCACTTGTACACATTGATCTGCTATTGCAGTAACTTCAGGAATGGTGTATCCCCTTGGGAAAATAGCCAAGAAAGCACACTTGAAAAATCAAACCCTGGGAGAAGGAGTGGAAAATCTATCATGGATTGAAAGAGAGATTGAGAAACTCCCCTACTAAATGAAAAGATATATAGGAAAGAAAATCAGTTCAGTGAGGCTTAAATTCTAGGGGAGATCACAGAGAATATGAAGAGGGAAAAAAAGACTTGTGCTACCAGATTGATGAAAAGGGCCCATTAAATGCCCACTATAACAGAGAAAAACAGACCTGTACATTAGAACACTAGGCCCAGAGAAAATGTCTTACAAGCTTTCAGAGAGAAAGCAGATCGCATATAGAGGGCGTGATGCTGGGCAGCTTAAAGTAACACTCCACACTAGAAGATGGTAGAGTAGTGCTGTGCCTTTCATATTTTCAGAGAAATGGTTCCCACTTCAGAATTCCATACCCCTGCTGTGTTGAGGTGAAGGCTAAAAATGCAATGATTCCATTTTTCTCCGTAAACTTAATTTTTTCTTGTAAAATAGTTCCATGTGGATTGTTCACTGTGCTCCACATATCATACAGTGACCAGGACTTGGAGTGCAGCCGTGCCGTCCTTTAAATTCTTATACTCGAAAGTGTGGTCTGCAGTCCAGCAGCATGACATTCATGAAAATTGGTTAGAAACGCAGAATCTCAGTTCCCACCCCTGACCTACTGCCTACGAAATTAGTGTTTATGTTTTAAGATCCCCATAGCATATGATTTGTATGTGCGGTACATTTTCAAAACACTGCTGTCGGGAATTCTCTCTATTATCAAAACTGAGTTACTTCCATCCTGGGGTTGCCACTGACTGAAAAGAGGAAGAGAAAACATGGAGGAGGCAGCCTGTCTGGGGGCTCTGCCTAGGAAGTCGCTTATATCATTTCTGCTCACATTCTGTTGAAGGAAACTTGGTCTTATGGTCTCATCTACTCTGGGGTTCTGGGATATCTAGTCTCTTCCTAGGTGGCCAACTACTGTTCTGTCACCATGGAAGAGTAGATTTTAGGAGCTACTGTATCAAGAATCTCACAAAGCCAAACTCTGAATTATGAAGGAAGAATAAAGACATTTTGATATGTACAAGCTCTTAAGATTTTTCTCCTATGGGTACCATTCCTCAGGAAGTTATTAGAGTTAGACCAGAAGAAGAAGAAGAAGGTTGAGTCCAGGCACTAAGACCTTAACTCATGAAAGGTAACTTGTGGCTAAAGGAATTTTAGGGTAGCAGATGTGAAGAACATTTAGTTCATTAGAAGGATCTGGACAGGATTTCTTCAGTGAGATGAAAGAGATGAACATTTTTTTTTCTTGTCTTTTTGAGACAGGGTCTCACTATGCAGTTCATCCTGGCCTGGAGCTCACTTTGTAGCCCAGGCTGGTCTTGAACTCACAACGATCCTCCTGCCTCAGCCTCCCGAGTGCTGGGATTACAGGCATGTGCCACCACACCTGGCTGTGAAAATTGTTTTGTTTCGAATGATTTGAGATGATATGTAAACTTTTGGAAGAGTATGGGGCTGAATCAGTGATAAATTCAGAGAATAAAAAGATTTTTAAAATCATTGTTATTCAGGAAAAACAAAGTTGACTACGGTAAGAAAGGTAATCATAGCATACCATATGAGGCAACTAGAAACATTCTTTGCATAGGCATAAATAAATGTTGCTGTAACCCCAACTGATATAATTCGCTTGGAAGAACAGAGCATGGGGGCAGTGTGGAAAGTGTGTCGTGGTGATCAGCGGGATGAAAGAGGCCTCACTCTTCACTTCCAGTGGGAAGCCAGTTGATGATACTCAAAAATCAAGGAGCAAAATAAGCATGCTTAGAGATGTGGAAGTCAGTGCCAACAGAAACATCTGAAGGAGGTGAAAGGAATTGTCTCTGAGGATAAAGCAATTGGAGGAGGGAGGGACCTACTTTTGTGATAATGAGTCCTTAGTACTGAGTCCTTAAACTGTGGATATAGGTATTACTTTGAAAAGTAAAAGTAAAAGTAATGAAAATTGAGACAGGAGATAAGTGAGATGTACTGTACTATACTGTGAGAGGGGCCTAAAAGTGGAGGGGAGTTTTTTCCTTTGTTTTCTTTC